TCTTCCTCCAATAGCAGTACTGATGCCTCGTCCCGGATGTCCACCCAGGCAATGTCCTTGCAGGCCGTAAAGGTCTGCCATGGTCCAACGGGTACCCCCTCATCTGGGTCTCCATCACCCTTCATTCAATCCTCTCCCTCCTTTCCCTCTCAACATACTCCTTTTCTTCCCTCAGCTTTCTCCTCCACTCTTTCGCCTCCATCTTGTTGTGTAATTTATAAAGGAGGTTGTGAGACACCGAGATAAGTTGTTTTAAATATATACTTTATCTAAGCCTCTTAGGGAAAAGGTACACGGGGATCCCTAGCAAATAAACATAACATCTAAAAACATATTACATACCATATACAATTGAGCAAAACATGCAACGGCAGTCAAGGTAACGCCAATAAGTAGGCAAACTCAAAAGGTTCTGCCTTGCACGTAGCTTCGCACCGTACGAGGGAGGGTGTGAATGTGAGGCTGAAACAAACTACATTTGTAAGGCTGATTAACTACAGGGAACACATGAGGTTCCTTCCAAGGTTATCCATTCAAGAGAAAAGACATGTTACATATTGAATATTACAACACATCTCACCCCAGTAGGAAGGTCTCGGGGTGTCGCCTCCTTCCTTCTCCTATAATCTGCCCCTTCTTTTGGCATACGGAGCCTTTCCCACGTCCCCATCCATAGATCCTTCATTCATATCCATTCCCAACCTGGAGGCACTTCCCCTTCTCCCCCCTTTATATCCGCAAATCCGCCTCTACCTGGGGTTTTCGTTCCTTTCCTGCCAACAATTTCCTGCTCTCCTCAACCGTCAACATGTGTAATTTCTTGTCCATAGGCACAGGGTCTGTTTTTCTAGCCTCGGTCTTTTGGGGGCGGGTCACAGGTGAAATTTGCACCCCTTTCTCTATGGAGAGGGGACGAAACGGCACTCCCGTGAGAACAGCTGGTTTCTCGCCTCCAGTCTCACAAAGGGACAGGAGCTTATGCCTTCCCTGTTTAACCTGAAGCAGAATGCCAGTTGTCGCTTGGGGTGATCAGAATCTGGCCCTCCAGCCGTTGTTAGACCCCAGCTTCTGTCAGCTGTAGCCACAAAGTATTTTACAAGTGATACTGCAAAATGTAAATACAGTTGAAAGAATAGGGTTAAATTTCTTGAAATTAGTCTGATCTAGTTGATAACCAATTAATGCACACCATGATGCATTAAGTGTTAAAAGCCCTTGTGATCATTAGAACAGCATGAAAGGCCCCAGATGCCTGTGTGAAGAAACGTGGCTGCCTGGCGAAGGTGCCTGGCGTATCTCCTGAGGGCGAAGGGAAATATGTGCACAAGGGAGCCACAAATGTGACAGGGCTCACTTGGGTTCTGAATCACAGGCTCGGCCCATGGAGAGGAGGACCATGATGATGGCCGTATGAGAAGATGCACTCCGGCAGTCCTTTCGGGAGATTGCAAGTGGTCATGGTGGCTTCTAAATCCCCTGGCAGGCCAAAGGGGCAGGTCTCTCTGGTCCTTGCAGAAGAGCGGGTACGAGGGACGGGCCCTTTGGCTGGGGTTTCTACTGTGTGTGTCCTGATTTCCCCACCGTTCTGATCCATAGTGGATGAATGTTGGCAGGCCCTGTAGATAGATGGTGTTCCCCTCATGAGAAGCTAATGTCATTCTGGGTGTTGTGATTATAGCAGCTGGAAAACAGCTGCTTTAAAATGATTGGATCTGTGGGTCATTTGTGACTTCTTAAACCTCCCCACTGTTATGTATTCCTCCTCCTCTCCCCCCCCCTTCCAGGCTAGAGGAGGAACACAAGCTACTTTTAACCCCCTTTGAACGGAATTTGGATTTTTGGCGTCAGCTGTGGCGAGTCCTTGAAAGAAGGTGAGGCTCACAGGCTCCCTTTTGCAAACAGTGGTCCCTGGAACTCCCTGCCAAGAGGCTTGTGGCGCTACAATCAGGGCCATGGCAAGTTCCTCCCTTCAGGTGATGCATTCACGTCCATGTTATGGACGGTGGCTGGCAGAAGCATTTGCTGGTAGAAAAAGTTATTGAAAGGGACTGGGATAAAAGAATTATGAAGAATACAGTGGTGCCTCGCTTGATGATGTTAATTCGTTCCAGTAAAATCGCTGTAGAGCGAAAATGTCAAGTAAAATAAAAAAGCCCATTGAAATGCATTGAAAACTGTTCAATGCATTCCAATGGGCTGAATACCTGCTCATCCAGCGAAGATCCTCTATACGGCGGCCATTTTCGGGTGCCTGTTAAGCGAAAAATGCCTCCTAAAAACAGCGGGGAGCCATTTTGAGCAGCCGGCGGCCATTTTGAAAACCCAACGATCAGCTGTTTTGATCGTAGTAATGCGAAGAATCAGTTCCCGAACCAGGGAACCGATCGTTGCAAAGCGAAAAAAAAAAACCATTAAAACACATCGTGAAGCAGATTCGTCGTTATACAGCCATTAAAACACGTCGTGAAGCAGATTCGTCGTTATACAGGATAATCGTTAAGAGTGGCACAACTGTATGTCTGGAAGGCTAAAGGAAAATTGTCATAAGTTAATATGGAGATGGTATTTAACGCCAGTAAAACTGACTATGGTAAATATCGTCACTATGTTGGAGGTGTAAAAAAGAGAAAGGGACGTATTTACATATGTGGTGGTTATGTGACATCAGAAAGAAAGAAAGAAAGGAAGGAAACAAAATTTTAAAGAAATAAGGGAAATATCTGGATTAAATATTCAAATGTCAATGGCCTCATTGAATATGATCAACTGCTGAAAGAAAATAAAGATTTAATTGTAATAATGGTTACGGCAGCAGGGTTAATACTGTATTTGCAAGAAAGTGGATAAATGAGAACCAAATTAATTTAGATGAATGGTATAGAGAATTATGGGATAGGGCAATTAATGATAAATTGACATGTGACATGAAAGTAAGAAGAGGCCTATCAAAAATATAATGACTTTAAGAAAACATGGAGTGTATTCCTGGAATATTTATTTCGTAGAGGGAAGGAGTATATGCGGAGGGAAGAAACAATGAATTTTTGGAGAGAAAATGGATTGAACAGAATTGAAAAATATTATAAATACTAGCCCTGAGGGCGAAGGTGGCACTGGTGTATTATGTAATTGTATTTTATTGTAGTTTTAGGTTTATGTTGTCTATGTTTTATGTTTATTTAATTAAAATAATAATAATAAAAAGAAAGGGACTGGTGCAGGAAGGGTGACACAATCTGTGGAGCTTGGGTGATAACCGTGTGCAACTGCCCTCAAGGCCCCTAGCCTTTGTGTTTGCTGTGGCTGCCACACCGGCCCTGTCACACACACACACACATGCCTTACATGGTGTGTGTGTGTGTGTGATGAGTGGTTCCCTAAACTCGAACATGTAAACCGCCCTGAGTAGCTGAGTAGTATTTCACCAAGTGGGGCAGCCTAGACATTTGTTAATAAGCTAGCAAGCGAACAGGGAAATGAGTGGCCCTTTTCCTTTCCTTTTGCAGTGACGTGGTGGTGCAGATAGTAGATGCCAGGAACCCCCTTCTGTTCAGATGCCCAGACTTGGTAGGTGAAACCATCCCGATGTGCCTTGGGAGGCCGCTGCTCCATCTGGTGCCTCGGAGGGCTGGCCCTCTTCCCGGCTAAAAGGAGTCCTGTGTCCTCTCGGCCAGGCCGTAAGGGGGCCCGTGACTCTGGGCGCGGGCCCTCGGCCTCGTTTCGTTTCCTGACTCCAGCAGATCTGAATCTTCCACGTGCCTTTTCATATTGTCAGCTGGGTGGGGGAGGAGGCTGTCTTGGAGCCCATGGAGTAAGTAAGGAGGCTGGAATGAATTCCGAATGAAACAGCAAAAGACACTCTGCCCCTCAGATGCAAGCGAAAGTCTCTCCAGCCCAGCGTTCTGTTTCTGCCTCTGGGGGACCCCTGGGCAGGGTATGGGAGCAACTCTTGTCTTCCCACTGGCGCTGCCCGGCAGCCGAGGGTGACCTGGCCTTCGCTCCTGGAAGCGGGCCTTTTCCTTCAGCGGTTTGTCCTCTGGTGGGTTCCACTTCCAAGTGCCAGGAACGCTGTGCGGGGGAAGCCGATCAGGCCTGGTGGGGCTGTGTGGGTGTCGTCTGCCTGTCCGTCTGGGGAACTGAGCGCTCCTTGAACTCCTGGGAGAAAGTGCCGCTCGTTCCTCTTCTGTGGGGAGGATGGGGATGAGAGGGGGGATTCTCGGGGGGTCTCACTCCCGTTTCTCTGCATGAACAGAAGAGTGATGGTGGCTTGGCCTTCTTTGTACCTTGTAGGAACTTTACGCCAGAGAGATTAGCCCAGAGAAAGAGAACCTCATTCTCTTGAACAAAGCCGACCTGCTGAGCGAGGAGCAGCGCTCTGCCTGGGCCCGATTCTTTGAGGAGGAAGGGGTGAAAGTGGTGTTCTGGTCGGCCCTGGCGGAAGGGAAGCGGCTGACGGCTGCTTCTAAGGTAGCTTTGGGATGTCTTGTCAGGACAGGATGCGGAAAGCCCTGGGGGTGGTTGCTTTCCGGTGGCCAGATCTCCTAAGCTACCCTCGCCCATGCCTTCAAAATGTATAGTTTTCGTACAGTGCTCTCTTGTTGGTCTGCATGCATGATGATGCCCCTATATTTTTATTCTAGAAGTGAAAGAGTTCCGAGAACAGTCATGGCTCCGATAAATGTGTTCATGTATTTAAGAAATGCTAAAAGTTGTTCTGTCTTAAAGTTTGCCTCTTAGTTTCCCTCCCCCATGAACAGTCTCTCCCACAGAGCTCATCCCAGGCTTAGACCCGGGGGGGGGGCACCCCCAGCCTCTCCTTTGTTCTCTGGTCGGCTGAGGCAGGTGATGAGGCGGCAAGCACCAGCTTCATCCTAGTTTGAGGGCTCGGTAGGTGAGAGGTCTGTGGGTAGTCCATTTCCCATTCAGACAGCCAACCCCCAGTCCGGTGGCAGTCTTGCCCAGTGGGCGTCCCGAGAATGCGGTCTGCTGTACTGCAGCCTCTGCAGGGAGAGGGGACGCCCTCTCTGAAAGCGTCTCTCATGCGCAGGGGGCTGAAGCTGTGGAGGAGCCGGGCCTGGAGGCCGAGTTTTCCAGCCAGAGGGAAGGGCGAGCCTCCCCCTTGAGCAGCCAGGATGGAAGTGAGACGGAAGAGAGTGACCGTGAGGAAGACAGTGACGTGTATGAGGACTGTGAGGAGGAGGAGGACGAGGAGGAGGCCTGGCTGACCTGCTCCGAAGAGGAAGACCATGGGACCGCTTTCGCCGAGCCTTCAGGCGGCCAGACCGCTGGCCCTGAGCTCCAGAAGCCGGGACCCTTGCAGGACCGGCCTGTTCGAAACAGCAGCCGCTTAGTGCAAAGGGAGGAGCTTCTGGAGATATTCCGATCGGTTCATGCCGGGAAGAGGAAGGTCAGAGAGGGAGAGGTCACTATTGGACTGGTGAGTCCCCCCACCCTACGCTCAAGTGCACGCACACACACACACACCTACCCCAGGCGGTGCCGTGAGGGTGTGGGCTGTCTTTCTGTGCAGACTTTGGCAGCAGCAACGTCCCTTTTTCCTGTGCCTTGTCTCTTCGTCCGGATCTGAAAGCAAAGCCGCCAGATTCTAGCTGGGATTTTCCTACAGAGTTGCTGAAGGTGCATAAGTCCTGACAGCAAACGGCGGCCAGTTAACGAGGTGCTCGTTCCGTGGCTGGTTGCGTGACCGGTCACTTTGCTGGCACAGCGTTTATTAGCTGCAATCGGCTGCCACAACCTAAACACTCTTGTCTACTCTGAAAGAAAATCCCAGCATGTGCTCTGGCCCAGGGCTTGGAGGAGCAGGGCTGGCCTCTCATCCTGCCAGCTGAGGTGGCTGCCTCGGGAGACGGGTGTGGAGGAGGGCAGCCTGGGCACAGAGTGTGATATTTGCCCTCTTCCCCAAAGGGGGAGACTGTTGTGCTGAGGTGCAGAACTGGGCAATGCCCCAGTGTGAGCTCTGGGGCAGAGGTGGCCACAGCGGCGCCTTGCCCTCGGTCTTGGGCCACGAAGGTCCTAAGCCAGCTGCACTTTGCTGACCAGCAGGCCAGTTGTTGGGCCAGGCCATCCAGCTTTCCTGGTGCTGAGTTGTGCAGGCTCGGCATTGGGAAAGGGTGTTTTCTATTTTGGGGGGGCTGGAATACCCAGAGACCAAATTCTCAGATGGCCTGTCTCACTGGGAGGTTTGTGGAGTGCACCCAGCACCCAGGGGTGGAATTGCTGTGCAGGCCCAGCTTTTGAGTGGGAAACGGTAACTCTGAACGTGGGCAGAGTGTTTTTTTTATAGGGTACGGTGTTGTGACCAGAAGCACCTGTGGGTTTATGCTGGGGAAGGGCGAAGGGGGTGGGTCCCAGGCAGGCAGTCTATGGGGGTGGCGTTGGGAGTGGTGTGTGTGTGTGTGTGTGTGCGCAGCCTGTCGGGAGGAGGGTGGCTTTTCTCTGGGCATTCCTCTCTTTTCCCACAGAGTTTGCCTATTTAAAGTTCCGGTGGGAATTCTGCATGCTGCTCTCCCCCTGCCCCCCACCGCCCGACCTTGTGGTCTGTCTGTGGCTTCGTCTTTCAACCAGCCAGGAGGACTGCCGGCTTTCTGGGGAAACTTCTTTTGGGCAGAGGAAGGCAGGCTTTGGGCTTGAAGTCGGCTTCCTGCTCCATTTTTAGTGGAGAGTTTGCTCGGCAGGCGGGTCAACCCTCCGCCGTCCCCTGGCCAGGTGGGGACCCCGGGGTGGAGCTGGCCCCCTCGCGCGCCGGCACAGCAAGTCAAGGCAGGCTCTGGCGAGGCCTGTCTGAGGGTCAGCTGCTCCCCTCTTCCCTTCTTAGGTGGGCTACCCCAATGTTGGAAAAAGCTCAACCATCAACACCATCCTCGGGAAGAAGAAGGTCTCCGTCTCTGCCACCCCTGGCCACACCAAGCATTTCCAGGTACAGGCAGGTGGGCAGCAGCAGCAGCAGCACATAAGGTCAGGCTGGCAGCCCGGGGGGGGGACTGGCAATGTCTCTGCAAGGCCCAGTGGGGGCTGCGTTGGGCCTTGAAGGGTCCCTATACCCCAGTCCCCCCCAACGCTGCCCCAAAGAAGGCTTGAAGTAAGTCCGCTGGAGGGTATTCAAAGGGGCTGCTGAGCTGCCCTCTCCCTCCCCGTGTGATTTTTAGCTGGCTCCTCTTTTGCAGACGCTCTACGTAGAGCCTGGCCTTTGTCTCTGCGACTGCCCTGGCCTGGTGATGCCCTCCTTTGTCTCCACAAAGGCGGAGATGATCTGCAGCGGCATCCTGCCCATCGACCAGATGAGGGACCACGTCCCCCCAATCTCCCTCATATCCTTCTACTGCTCAGGGCGGGAGAGGGAAGGTGTGCGGGAAACACGCGCACACACACACACTCACACACACACACACACACACACACACACACACACACACACACACACACCCCGCTGGGTGTGCCGTGCACAAATCTGCAGAGTGTTTGCATGAGGCTGCATTTTGGCAAAGCGGGCTGGGGGAGCCGGCAGCCTCCGGTGGGGAAGAAGAACCTGGAGGTTAGAGGGGAAGGGAGAGAGACAGTTGGGGGAGCTCTGGATGGTTGAAGGTGGGCAGCAGGCAGTGTTCGTAGGCCAAGCAGCACCTTATGCAGCCATCATTGGAGAAGTTACTCGAAATAAGTCACCCACGAAGAGGAGGTGAGAGTGTTGGGGCCCTAAAGTCTGGGATTCCCCTTGGCAAAAAGCAGCTGGGTGATGGACCAAGATGGGCAGGGTGAACAGGAAGGCTTTCTGGCCCCAAGGTGCCCTGGGGGGGTTGTCTGTGTTTATGGGTGGGTGGTGCAGCCTGGGTGCCAGCTGGATGGGGCGGGTCTCCTGCCAGCCTGGCCTGTGCCAGAAGTCCCCCCCCCCAGCTGGCAAAATTCCCCATGGCATCCGCCTCTTGGCCTGGCTCGGTGAGGACCTCACAGGCCACCACCACCCCGGCTTTTGCCTTTGGCCCTCATCCTTTTGGGCTGCCTCTCTGGGTCACCATGGCGGCTTTCAGCTGCTGCTCCTTCCAGCCGTTGTGCTGTAGTGGCTGGTGGTGGTCCTGTGGATGGAGCAAAAGAAGAAGAAGAAGACCTGGGCTGGACTGCTCGGGTTCCACCCACCCCACTCCTCTGCAAGTCTTCTGTCTGGATGCTCTGCCCACTTCCCTCCCCGTAAACAGCCCTTGAAATGCAGAATGTATGTGCCGGGGGGGGGGGGGGGGAGGGAGACGAAGAGAAGGGGGAGGAAGTGCAGGGAGGCGGAACCTCGCCTCAGGAGAGGATCTGGACAGTCAAGGCTCTTTTCCAGGTTACAAAGGACAACTCCCAGGGTGATGCTGTGGGTTTCCCCTGAATGCCTGGTCTGGGACAGGACTTGTCTATCTGGCTCTTTGGGGGGAAAGTCTGGCCTTCCCCCCCCCCGCCCTGCTGCCAGTATGTTTCCTTCATTGGCTTACATCTGCCAGCGAATCCCCCGTCCCATCCTGGAAACTACCTACGGCATCAACCTCATCCGGCCTCGAGAAGATGAGCCACCCGACCGACCGCCAACATCGGAGGAGCTGCTCACGGCTTACGGGTGTGAGTGACAACCCCGTGGGCCCTTGGGAAGGCTGGCTTCCTCTTTGGCTGATAGTTAGCAGGTTCCTGGTGCCGCAGGCGGGCATTTCCCCCATCTGGTGGAGGTGGTGCCTTAAGGAGGTCGGATCCCAGGTGGACGTGGTGAGGACTCGGGAGAGGGCCTTCTCTGTCTCTGCTCCCAGATGATTGATCAATAGATGGATGGATAGATAGATAGACAGACAGAGAGACAGACAGGTAGACTGAGAGGGAGAGAGAGAGAGAGGTACTTTGGGGGTGGATGGGAAGGCCTTTGCCTTGCCCCTCCCCAGTAGAGATGCCTCCCATGTATGGCTGAGCTGCTTGCCCCCCAGGTCACCTGGTCTTCCTCCCCTCCTTTCCGTGTTTCCTCACAGGTATGAGAGGCTTCATGACAGATCACGGGCAGCCGGATCAGCCCCGCTCGGCCCGCTACCTCCTGAAGGACTACGTCATGGTAGGTTCTGTAGACAGAGGTGCCCGCAAAGTGCCGTTAGGTTACAAGGGGCTCCAACCTTTGGGTGCACGTGGACATTGAAGCAATCAAAGCACCACTGAGGTCTAGACGTGGAGAAAGGGAGGGAACCGTCTCCTCGGGCCATCGGGCCAGCTCTTACTTCACCCCTAGCCTGACGATCTGTAGGGGATACTTTAGACGGAGAAAAGCCTGAAGTAACAGTGTTTTTTTTTTCTCCATTAAAAATGTCAGGCCTCTTCTTCAGAGGTGGGTCACACATGGGCTGAAAGTCATGCTTGTTCAGGGAATAATGGATGAGCAAAGCTGGAGGACCAGATAAAGCTCCCAGCTTACCTCCTCCCCCCAGAGAGGGAGGGCCTGTCAGTGGCCAGAGGAGGCCCTCTAAAAAGGGTTAGGTGGGGGAGCCAAAGAGGAGGTGCCCAAACGGGGGCTCCTGGACGGGTTTGGGAGGCGAGGGGGAAGGACGGGAGCAGGCCGTGGCTCCTCCAAAGGCCAAAATAAGCTGGTTTTT